CTTTAGATGTAGCCTGTGCGGCCAGACATGTAACAAAATCGTGAAGGGCTACTTTACCTAAGCTAAATCCGAAAGCACATTTCCCGTAGCGATTCTAATCGCTCTCAATAAATTCAAATGTCAAGTATCACTCCTTATGAATAAATAACACGCAATGACGTCCCAGTAGGCCGCGTGACAAAAAAAGAAAATTTCACAAATATCAAAACAACTAAAATAACTCGTCAAGAATGTTACACAATGAAATCAGAAGGGTAATTCAACTCTATTTGATGCACACAAATTTAATCTTAATTAAAACGAATGCATTTTTCCTTTAGTCCATTCTCGGAGAGTTAGGAGCAGTCAGAAGGGTTGGGAAAATGTTACCACGAAAGTTTACAAGCAGTAAAGCACTTCAGTGCTTGTAAACTAACGTCGCGCGGTTTCCCGAGGATGCCTATTGCCCTTGCAAACCGTATTGTTAATATGGAGATTGTTTGCCGTTGGCAGGATTCAACAACTTTGCGGATGAAAAAAGAAATATATTTTTCCGCTAAGTTTGTCTCCAAAGGGTTCCTCCAATACCCTTCAAATTGTTACTCCTTTGCCAGAATCAAACTCCGACCATGATTGGATCAAACTTATACAGTGGTACGAAATTCAAGAAAATTTTCAATCAAATTGAAAAGAACGATTGTAAATGACGCCAGTATAGTCTACTTAAAGTTCTTTTAATTTTTTTAGACCTCTGGTAAAAATTCGTTTTTTTAAAAAAATCAGATGTGGTCTACAGGGGTGGTACATGGACCAGGGGTCCATGTTTGGTATGCGTCCTGATTGAAGGTATACTACAGACAAGAGACAATTTGCCACAGACGATGGCCAATGGTCAGAGGGTTAAAAACATATAAGATCAATTTCAAGCTAAAAAAAGCAAAAGATGCTTCCATCAACGATCGCTCTTAGTAATAGATTTCAGGTCTATATCGGTGATTGCAACGATGGTAGCGATCGCAGAGATCGTAGCGACCGTAGTGATCACAAGGAAACAGGATGGTATCCATATGATTGCTGAGATCCCTACATTAGCCACGATCGCTGCGATCGCAACAGAAAGTTACATGTAAAGTTGAACGATCCTCGCGTTGACCGACCGGTTTCCATATGCCCCACATGATCGCGACGGTAGACTAGATTGGAGTGAAGACCATCTCAGCAGTCGTATCGATCGCTTACGGAAGGATCGCTACGATTGATGCAATCGCTGAATACCACATTTACTCGAATAAGCGCCGCCCTCGATTAAGAACGTTCGTGCTAATTGTTTTTGCGCACACTACTGTGCACGTAATGCATGTCGCAATGGCACGTCAAAAAGGGGCAAATTTACGCCCTTCGCGACTGGGTATGACAAGCAATTTTCCCTCCTGAATGTTACTTTTAACCAAATGGATTGACACCAGTGACAAGTATTTACTTAGTAGGCTTGTTCAAGTCAATTACGAAACCAAAAATGCTTGCTACATCAGTTTATTTTCCTTTTTTTAACACTTGAAGCAGCCTAAGCCAAATCGAAACAACTGTCAAAACTTCTATAAATACTGCGGTCTTTCGTACCGGTTATCTCGAAAATGAGCTCGGTGACCCCCGAATTTTTTTGCCTCTCTGACCTGAGTTGGTCGTTACCTAACTTCTGTAAAAGTTATTCAAAAATCTGACCGTGGGAAGATTTTCGCGCGAACGTCCTTAAGCGCCGTATTTGGGTCAAAAAAGTTAATTTGCGCCGCCCTCGAATAAGCGCCGAGTCGGGAATGCGGCGCTTATTCGAGAATCTCCGTAGAACTACCAAAACGCTAGAATGCAACTCCAAAACAGCATCAGGGGATAGTGAGATCGAAGTTGAGTGAAGACACCACAGGTAAAGCAATAAAAAGTGCCAGAAGAGACGAACTGGGACAATCGAGAGACGCTTCTGTTAATAACCGTTAAATTTTTCAAAAAGATAGAAATATTCCCTTGACTTAAAAGGAAAGATTTCTTTGTCGTGTCCAACTTTTATAAACAAGGGCCGCCCTCAAATAAGCGCCACCCTCGAATAAGCGCCCCATTTGAGGAGGAAAAAAATTAATAAGCACCGCGGCGCTTATTCGAGTAAATACGGTTAGTTAACCGATGTGGTAGGAGAATTCACTCCGAAGTGTTCCAAAATATATTAATGTCTTTGTCAAGAATATTATCACTTCACTATGTCACGTTTCCCAGGACTCGAAAATGCGGATAGCAATCTTTCAGTAATTTCTAGTCATTCTGAATCAGTTAATCCGCACTAACAATTTGTTAAAACCATAAGGTTTTAGTTAAAAAGCCTCCTCGATCCTAATCAATGACATAGACTCGATTTCAAAGTAGATTAGGACTACTTCCTCTTTTCGCTTAGTCCGTCGAGCGTACGCGAGAGAAAAGCGTGCCAAGATTTCGCTCGGCCATTATTTTCTCGTGCTTTTATCGGACAAAGCGAAAAAGGCATGAAAAGGGACTACTCGTTGTCTTATTTCAAAGTTGAGGACAACAAATAATAATAAAAAGACTATACCTATTTCTTTTGCTTCCAGTTTGTAATTTTCGGTTCTCGCAATGCTCTTAAAACTTTCTGAAAGTAAGTGTAAACAATTGTCAGGGGCATTCTAAATGAGTATGTGTCAAAAAAACACTAAAAGCTGTGAAAGTTCCTCGCCTTACCTCTACTACGTAACTGTTAGAACCATAAGGCAAATAAACATCACTACAGTGGTCTTGTCCGAGTACGCGACCGTACTTATGTGTCCGTAAAAGAAAAGTTCTGTCCCCGGCCTGAACTTAAATTAGGATGTCTATATTGTTAACGAGTGGATTCATTTGCAGACAATACATTTTGATGTCGCTTTGGCATGTGCGAATTTTGAATTTCTTTTCCGGGGGTGGGGGGGGGGGGGGTAGGGGTTAAAAAACAAAGCAATATTCACAAGCAGAAGCCACAAATAAATCCACTCTAAATTAATTAGTTGAAATAAGGTGCGAAGATCAAGAAAGCTGTTTTACTTGTGGCGTTCAGAAACAAAAGGCTGGAGAAAATGATATTTATTCAGGTAACAATAACATACTTTGTTTTGCATTTGAATCAAATATAAGCGGTAATACTAATGTGAACAGTCATTGTGGACTACCTCAAAATACAAAAACCACTTTCTTCGTAAAGTGCTGACGTGGTATATTTCTTTTTCTGCAGACAATTACCGCTGTGATTTCGCCATTGTTTTACTTTTAACGATAAACTTAGCCTGTGAACACCCGCCTCCTCCGGATGTTCACAGGCTGCGATAAACCGCGTGTCTCACACAAGCTTCGAACAAGCTGTACGTCTTTTACGTTCTTACGATTTTTTTACAAAAATTCCTCAACTCGAAAGAAAGTGGTTCTTGAAAGGATTGTAAACGCAAAGTATACTAAAAGTAGTAAAAAATCCAGCACTTTGTAAACAGGAGTGCAACCCATAAATTAACTTGACCGTTCATTCGTCCGTTTTACTACATTCTTTCGGTTTATTTCCGGTGATTTAATGCTCCTTTTGATGCGACCGATCAGATGATAGCACCACTATCGGCTTTATGTAAGTTGACGCTTTTTTCCCAAAATCCCCCCTACAATAACGAATTTTTAAAATTACTACGGTGTCCATTCTTTAGGAAATCTGGCATTTTAGAAAGTTACTTCGCAGTCATACAGTATTTCAAAAAGATAATAAACAATCATTTGTATGTACTGCCATTGAAAATCACAATATCGTAACAGGTGTGATCTTTTTATCACCTTCCCAACATAAAGCCACGAGTGAATCCATTGCATCAGTTGATCCTGTATCGACCGCTCAGATCAGACGCCAGGCAAAATCTGTCAACATATTCCAACGTTTCTGTGCTTTTGTCTTCAACACAAATCACGTAACAGCAACTATTGACGAAGGGAAATCAAGAAAGAAGGCAAGATTACACAGGTACGTCTGATTTGTATTTATTTCTCTGGTTTTAGCATTTAGCAAGCTAAGTTCGGTATTGCATTTTCGATAAAGTCGATCGTAAGTCTTGGACTTCTGCGTCATGAAAACGCGTGTTAATTTCAGTTGACGATCGAGAATCAAGTCTGCGTGATTCTTTCTGTTGATATCAGGAATGTTTGTATGAACCCGTGATATTCTACCGAGCTTCTAGTAGTCCGGGAGTAGTCTCACATATAAACAATGAATCACATCCAGTGCGGCCTTCTGCCAGGAATTGTTGGAAAGGAACTTTGAAAAATCGCTAACCTACAGTGAAAACGATCGAAGCACGTCACTGGAGGGCAATTTCAGATTTGTCCTAGACTAATCCAAACATGAAATCGGCTAGTGACGGAAAATTTGTCCGGAAAGTTACAGACATACTTGAGAACAAAATCTGTGAACAAGAACATCACACCATGTGGTGAGCTCTACGCAATTTTCCCCCGAGCCGGCTTTTAGCTGCGGTTTTCATCCACAAAACCCCGGCAAAACCGAGACAAGAAGGATATCAAAAGTGTTACCACGAAGAATTCTGGCAGAATTGCTTTCTTTTTTTCTGGCTGTTCATGTCGAATTTACATTTCGTAGCCAACCTATGCATTAAACGCTCTCTTGACAAATTTAGCTGTCGCTAGTGTTTATCAAAAGGGGGAGATTTACAACTCTCGGGATAGAAAATTGCAAACGTACGAATTTATTTCTGAAAAAGAGGACAACCTTGTGAGTTACTCGTAAAAGTTTTCCTGGATTTCCGTTCGATTTGATTTTCTTCTCGGAATTTCCGGTTGAATGGTTCGCTTTTCGGAAATTCAAATATTTCTCGATTTTTTGGAACTTTTTCCAGGAAATTTATCATACCATTTGACCGCTGAAAAGCGCCCCCTTGTTACGAGGGAACGCCCCATTTCAATACCACAAGCACTTCGAACAGCGGTTGTTTCATGAAGCTTTTAAAGAATCAAAATGGCTGCTCTATCAAGAGACGGTTTTCATAGAGATTCTGCCGCTTACTTGGACTATTGTAGGATCTTCGTCAGAATGCAACAAAAGGTATCTTAGTAATAAGATGAAAATTAATTGAACCGAATGATAGTTGGTGTTTTTTTTAATTATGTGTAGGAAAATTTTCGCGAGAGCCGGTGTCTGGAGCGAAAGCAGCGTTTCTTGGGCTCTTCCCAGTGCAAAACAATGCGATGATACAATTTAAAATCTAAACTAGTAATAACCAAAGGTTAGGAAGTGCGGGCGAGATCGATGCAAGGTGTCGTAGGATGAATAAAAGTTTAACAAAGGTGTACGTACTGTGATAATCTCTCGAAAAGCGAGTCTGATGATTTAGCTTGCTCAAGCGCTTAGGCACTGAAGAATTTAGGTTCGTGTATACTTTCTGTTGCATATACAGGTTTATAATAGGCACTACACACACAGGTGACCCTTTCTTAGTTTTTCCAGTCGGTGTTGCAGGATCGCGGCATAACCTAGTCGCTTGACGGCATTTCATTTCTCTGATGTCGCTGTTTCAACGCCATGTTGCCCATCGAAATTTACCCTAAAAGGGCTTCAGAACTTCACTGTTCCCGGCCCCTCACTACCAAATTAATTTCATCCCCATCCTAGCTTCAAGAGGATATCCGAGCACATATACTAATGGTGATATATTTATCAGTCAAAATAGTATCTGGTTTAACCCAAGGTTATAAATTTTAAATTGTGAGCGAAGCGATTGATTTATTCGAGATGACCTGATTCTTTCTGTTGTTTCAGATATGGCTTCAGCATTTCCGTCATCAGCCAAGCGGTCCCGAACAGCAGCTGAAGCACCTTCCGTCAGGAAACAAGGGAAAGAAGTTAGCATTCCGTGGGAGGAAATTTGCCCAGCCTTAATAAGTGAATGGTTGGATACATTTAGTAAGGCCAACAACACTACAAGGGACATTCTGCTGGCAAGTGTCCTGCCAACTGTGGCATGCTTGATGGGGCCCTCAACAGTCAAGGTTGACTGTAGAATGCGCACAGAAAGTATCAACCTCTACATGATCTGCTTGTGTGACCCAGGGGCAGGAAAGTCACCTGCCTTTCACCATGGCTGTGCACAGCCGATAAGGTTGCATGTAGAGGCAAAGGAGGATAACCCTTTATTTGTTGACGAATTTACTGAAGCTGGGCTATTTCGTCAATTGAAGTCAACACCTGGCCATAAAGCTATCATTGGCAAGGAAGAGGTATCACAGTTTTTTGACCAGCTACTTGGTGCTTCCAGGGAAAAGAGCCGCATAGACATGGAACGGATGATCCAGTTATATGATGGAAGTACATGGGTATATACACGGGCAGACAAGTCAGCACGTCAAGTCATTGACAGTCCAGGAGTGTCAGTGAGTGGCTACAGTCAACCCAACCGCTTCTTTCCAATTTATGTCAAACTAAAGGAAAGGCAGGATGGTGCAGTGGACAGAATTCTCATGTACCAGCCTTTGCCACATCGTCTGGCAGCACATGAAACTAAAGAGTATATCACCAAACTGAATAATTCGAAACTGAAAGATCTCAGGTAATTTTTTGTTTATGGCAAGTTTTAAACACAGGTTGATGAAACCTGAATGTTTTGGATCCATATAAGTATGTGTACAGTACAGAAACTTTTTTTTAAAAAAAATGAACACTACAACAGCTTAACAGGAATAGACAAATTGTATAATGCTTTAGAGTTTCAGGTTATTCTGGGAAAATAGGCATGAGTCATATTGTCTCTAACAATGTCAAGGTGATTGCTCTGAAAGCTGACAAGAGTTAATTTACATGTATTCATTCATGGCTCAATTTAAACACCCAGAGCAATTCCATTAGGGCCAAACTCTTTGTTTGACTTTTAACGCTTTGTAATTTATTCACCGCTTCATTATATATATACTCGATTTTATTATTTTAGTTTACTTGATAATGACGTTCTGGAAACGTCGAAACGTCGTGTTATGCTTTATAATATTTTATCGCAGATTTTTATCGTCAAATGCTTTACCAAATCTTTACTTATTCGAATTCATTCATGGGAGTACAAAAAATGTGAGAAATTAATAAACTTTAAGGTAATAATTGTTTTTAATCTTGAAGTCAATGTTTTTATATTTCAGAGCTGTCTATTCTGCCATATATGAGTTCTCTCATTCTGAAAATGGCCTTGTAACGTACTCCCTAGACCAGGGTGGCAACAGAAAGTACGAGGAATTTATAGATGGCATCTCTGCATCCCTTAATAGTCAGTGGGCGAGAAACATCTGCCCAGAAGATGTTTCAAAAGATGACAGGCACGTGCTGAGGCTGGCAGCTGTTCTCCATGTGTTATACGACCAGCTGACAAAATTTCTCCAAGAAGAAGAGAAATCACCACCACCACAAGTCATCAGCTCATTAACTATTCAGAGGAGTATAACACTGTGCCAGTATTTTACAGCACAGAGGAGAATCCTTGACCAGGTGAGTGGTTGTTCAATAATAAAGCAACTGGTAAAACAAGTGTGACTATTTCTTGGAGAAACAAATTAACAAAGGGCATAGCCATGGAACCATAAACATGAAATTTGAAAAATACAAGCCTAGGAAACCAGGCCATGTATTGCTTTTCTGTTTTTATTTCCTTTTTATTCCAGTTCATTTTTATTGATGAATACCTTGGTTTATGTATAAATCACAAAATCAAGATTAAATGCTTGAATCATGAATTTTAATATCCTTTTTTCATATTTGCCTATTGGATATGCAAAAATAAAACTCTGCGAAATACTATCTTACCAAAGTATAAAAATTAAGTACCAATAAGGTACACAAAAACCAGAGCGCCCAAACCGGCATGTCTACAGTTTGTCGCCACAACATTGATAAGTGTTGAGCCAAATTCTTTACCTGCAAATTTAAGTCTGATTAACTGCTTGATAACAGATCATTATTTTTTACTGAACCTCGACATCTGATGACTGATGCTAGAAATGGTTCGACAAACATTGTCCATCAGAATTTCTACAAATTAAAAAAAATAATCAATAAATATTCATCCTGAAAGATTACTTACAGCTGTTCATATACTTAGAAAAGGAACAACAACTAATAAAGAACTTGATGTTTTCATAACACAATAGCATCAATCCTTCAAAATTCCTTGATGAACAGCTTATCAGGAATCATCATTTTCAGATGCAGTACTTGTTACTGGATTACTAAAAAGGTGTTTCATGTTTTGCAGCTTGTGAAGTGCAATACAGAGAATGCCTCAAGTGACCACTATGAACGGCAGAGGCGCATCCTGCTATGTAAAGGGCCTTTTGTGTCTACACGTCTGGCCCAGCGCAATTTTAGTGGGAACGCGAGGCCATCTGCTGAGGTTCTAAGTGGCACAATGGAAAATCTGGCAACAGATGGATTTGGCACTGTCGTATCCGTCGACAGAAGCACCGTCTTCTACAAGAAGCTCCCGGCAGATATAAATGATGAAGACTTGGCCACATATGAGGTGACTAGGGAAAAATACCTCCAAGCCTTTAATGAGCGGGCAGACAAATCCATAATTACAAAGGACCTATTTAACAAATTTCTCAACCAGTCACCACATAAAGACCGCTTAAAGAATGAGCACGATATCACACCAGAGGACAACTAGACAACTAGAAGTAATGTAAGGGTACATTCCTCTAGCTCATTGCTAAGTAATGCAGTTTATCACCGTGCAATTTTTCACTTCGGGTTTTTGTGACCAACAATTTTTCATACATTTATACTCAGGGAAGTTTGACATTTCATTTGCTGATTTTTTTATGGAATAAGTGACACTTACCTCAATTTCTGTTACTGACTTCATTCAATTTTCAACTTTTGGAACATTGTTTTACATATTATACAGGGCCAGCAACACAGTCCAAACATGAATAAACTACAGGCCTCAACAATATAAACTGGTTTACACATTTTTACTCGATTTTACCAGTAGCATTTTTTGTGATAATTATAATTCGATCCTGATTTGACAATGGTATTACTAGTTTTTCATCAATTGAAATAATTTCCTACCCATTGACAGTTGCTGCTGGTGTCTGAGGGGTAAAAAATATTGACCGGTATAAATCATTCAGTCTGCATATAAGCCCATTCTACTTGTAAAAAATGTTGAAAATGTGTACAAGACTTGAAATGTAAAAAAAAAAACCAAACAAACAAAAAAAAAACAAGCCGACTGGCTGATGCAGTGAAAAGCTAATAATTATTATAGTGCCTGTTGACAAAAATATGATAAAATTAATACAGCTGGTGGCTTTGAAGATTTTGGAAGCATTTCTAGTGTGAAATATTTTCCCTGTGGTTTATTCATGTGTAGGCAGGCCATTGTTACTGCAATAAAAAAACCTCCAGTTACCTTGACCATTATAATGAAAATGGCTCTTCTTTTTTTGGAATTATTTTTTAATTGGAGTTCATGTGACAGATGAGCAGTCTATTGCCATCAATGACTGAGTGACCCTCTGAGACAAATGAATATTTAGCAAATCGTTTAGAATATGAGGAAATAGTGAGGTGAGATACAGAAAATGTGAATAATATGTATGTTTTTGGTCTCAAAGTATTTTGGGTTTGCATTACCCTAGAAGTTCCAGGGAATGTTTGCAAGTTAAAAAAATGGTTCTTCCAAGAAATTTATCCTTCCAGAGAAAGTACTAGAAGGCTTCCTGTTTTTTTAACTCTAATAAATTATTATTGAATTGAATTGAAAAAACAGTGCTAAGTGATCTGAGTACGATAAATTTTGTTTCAGTTACATGAAAGAGGATTTGAGTTAATGTGATTTTATTTACTGTTCTTGTTTCTTAATAACCATATAATAATTGGGTGATAAGTGCTTTCAGTTAGTTTTGTTGGTTAAGAGGAGAACTAACCCTTCCTTGCCCCCTTTGAGATGTACTACCCTAAAATATCTCATAGTTAGTTAGACGAGGAAAACTTCATTTCAAACATATTTTTTCACCTTAAAAAAAGTAAGCAGTAGTTGTAAGTGATAGTGAGTGGGATAACCTTTTATACTCATTTTTTATTGAAAACAAACAAACAAAAGGAAGCTATCCAAAGCAAGTATTAAACTAGCAGATCTGTTTTATCCAATCCTGTAGTGAATTGTGTACAAATCTAGGTCGTCCAGTTGAAATTTCCTTTGTTTTCCTTTTTCCCACTGTTACGACTGCTGTTAAAAATAAATAAATAATAACAAGTCTGGATGGATCGTTTACATATTTCCGCTTTTCCACTCTACCCACTGTTCCTCTGTGCCCATTGTCACTCTGCACCCACTGTTCCTCTATGCTGCCGTTCCTAGTTTTCCACTGTACTTCTGTGCCTACTGTTCAAGTTTTTCATTGGAGTCATTGGCAACCATGGACAACAGCATGACGCATAGCAATTTAATACAGTAAACTCATTCAATTAAGATAAGTTACTGACTTTTTAAATAAAAACGGAGAAAAACAGTGACACACAACTAACACGCATAACAAAATGATTACAACGGGCTCTACTGATGTGTCTTTAGCTTCAATAGTGCACTTTTCGGTGCCCAAATGTACCATTTCTAAACTAAATAACCGAACAAACACGCTGGTGAAACAACAAGTAGAGATTAAAAAAGCCGTTGATAGTGGCGGCGAGGGATGTCGGCCTTGACCAGCAAGGACTACACCGTACAGTTTTACTTCCTGCTACTTAATGATCACTAGACAATGTCAAGAATATACTGGGCAATGAAATTTGTAATTCTACTTTCTTCTGCTGTATTGATGGTAAAATAGTATTCTTATAGATAGAAATTAAACCAGTCATCTTCGAATGTTGGCGCTCCTCTTACAAAAAGTGCTCACTGTTTCTCTGTGCGAACCTTTCCTGTGTGCCTACTGTTCCTCTATGAACACTATTCCTCGGAGCCCACGGTTTCTCTGAACCTAATTTTCCTCCGTGCCTACTGCATCATTTTCTTAATTTTTTTTTAAATTGAATACCGCAGATACTAATTTTGCTTATGAAGGGATACCAATCCTGCAGTGAAAAAAAAAAACGTAGAAATCTAGGTCGTTTAATATAGCTCTAAGGCTCGTTTGTTAGGCTTCTTTCCACCGTCCCGACTACTTTTAAAAAATAATAATAAATAAATAAATAAATAACAACAACAAGCCTGGATGGATTAATTACATATTGTTGCCGTTCTGCTGTACCCACTGTTCTTCTATTCCTACTCTTGTGCCCACTGTTCCTCTGTGCCTACTGTTCCTCTGTGCCTCTGTGCCTCTGTGCCCACTGTTCCTCTGTGCCCACTGTTCCTCTGTGCCTACTGTTCCTCTATGCCCACTGTTCCTCTGTGCCCACTGTTCCTCTGTGCCCACTGTTCCACTGTGCCTACTGTTCCTCTGTGCCCACTGTTCCTCTGTGCCCACTGTTCCTCTGTGCCCACTGTTCCTCTGTGCCCACTGTTCCTCTGTGCCTACTGTTCCTCTGTGCCTCTGTTCCTCTGTGCCCACTGTTCCCACTGTTCCTCTGTGCCCACTGTTCCTCTGTGCCCACTGTTCCTCTGTTCCCACTGTTCCTCTGTGCCCACTGTTCCTCTGTGCCCACTGTTCCTCTGTTCCTCTGTGCCCACTGGTCCTCTGTGCCTACTGTTCCTCTGTGCCTCTGTGCCTACTGTTCCTCTGTGCCCACTGTTCCTCTGTGCCCACTGTTCCTCTGTGCCCACTGTTCCTCTGTTCTTCTGTGCCTACTGTTCCTCTGTTCCTCTGTTCCTCTGTGCCCACTGTTCCTCAGTGCCCACTGTTCCTCAGTGCCCACTGTTCCTCTGTGCCTACTGTTCCTCTGTGCCTCTGTGCCTACTGTTCCTCTGTGCCTACTGTTCCTCTGTGCTCACTGTTCCTCTGTGCCCACTGTTCCTCTATTCCCACTGTTCCTCTGTGCCCACTGTTCCTCTGTTCCTCTGTTCCTCTGTGCCTACTGTTCCTCTGTGCCTCTGTTCCTCTGTGCCCACTGTTCCTCTGTGCCCACTGTTCCTCTGTTCTCACTTTTCCTTTGTGCCCAATATTCCTCTGTTCCTCTGTGCCCAATGTTCCTCTGTTCCTCTGTTCCTCTGTTCCTCTGTTCCTCTCTTCCTCTGTGCCCACTGTTCCTCTGTGCCCACTGTTCCTCTGTTCCCACTGTTCCTCTGTTCCTCTGTGCCCACTGGTCCTCTGTGCCTACTGTTCCTCTGTGTGCCTCTGTGCCTCTGTGCCTACTGTTCCTCTGTGCCCACTGTTCCTCTGTGCCCACTGTTCCTCTGTGCCCACTGTTCCTCTGTTCTTCTGTGCCTACTGTTCCTCTGTTCCTCTGTTCCTCTGTGCCCACTGTTCCTCAGTGTCCACTGTTCCTCAGTGCCCACTGTTCCTCTGTGCCTACTGTTCCTCTGTGCCTCTGTGCCTACTGTTCCTCTGTGCCTCTGTTCCCACTGTTCCTCTGTTCCTCTGTGCCCACTGGTCCTCTGTGCCTACTGTTCCTCTGTGCCTACTGTTCCTCTATTCCCCTGTGCTAACTGTTACTCTGATGACGTCAGTCAGGTCGTCGTACACGAGCCATGAGCCCATTTTCTCTTGCCCCTTGCGCAACATAGAATGCAAATTTGCTGACCCACTCTATTGATACACACAACTCGACAGTCGTTAAGAGTTAAAAAAGATGAAGTTTTTTACCAAAACCATGTATTTCCGATTTTTTTAACGCTAACAAAAATGTAGTAATGGTATGTCCACTCCGGAAAATAATACCGCAAACAACAGCAAGCCCTAACCGCGATGAGAACACTCATGGATCACACAGCGCAACAGAACTCATTTTGTTTATTTGTTTGGGTTTTTTCCGATAATATTGGCCTGTAAAGAAATATATAACGGAGTTTTTTTGTATCCTCTGCCGGCACCATATAATTGGCTAAATGCTAAGGAAGTAATATACTTTAAAGAGATCATTAAAGGAGTAAAATCTTTAAAGAAATTTTTCCTGCTGGGGTTTCCTGGTGCGCCACTGCGAACACAGCGAACCTCATGTATAAGGCTGCGAGAAAATAAACAAAGACAAGTAGAAAAAGTTCTTTACTCACAAATCTCTTTTACAATCTATGACCGATTTTACATCTCGTGTCTGAAACAAGAGTTGGAAATGTAAATGCAATTTAATACGTTACGAGAAGAGGTATTTTACTCGTTGGTAATTTTATTCCTAAATTCGTTATTTATTTTTAATTGAAAAATCACGGGATTTGAGGACAGACACCACCAAGGCAAACACAACATCGACGTAAAAATTACCAGTCAACGGAACGTGCACTTATGCTGTGTAATTAAGTTAAGGTTGGCTGGTCATCTAAACAGGAAAACTATCTTTTTTTATTAAAACAAACATTGCTTTTTCATCACGGCTTTTCGCGGTTAACGTTCAATTAAATCTGCAAAGGAAAAAAAATCAAGACAAGTAAATTTAATTATGTCGCAATTCAAAATTAGTTTGTCATAAGATGAAAACGCACAGTCTAAAATGAAACAACTCCCAAAGAGAGACAGAACCAAATAAAAAAAAGGAAAGATTTTGCCTTCAGATAACAAAAGTCCAAATAGGACTGACTACCCAAGAGAGACAGAACCAGGTGAAAAAAAAGGGAAAGGTTCTGCCTTCAGATAACAACAGCCCAAATAGGACTGACTACCCAAGAGAGACAGAACCAGGTGAAAAAAAAGGGAAAGGTTCTGCCTTCATAACAACAGCCCAAATAGGACTGACTACCCAAGAGAGACAGAACCAGGTGAAAAAAAAGGGAAAGGTTCTGCCTTCAGATAACAACAGCCCAAATAGGACTGACTACCCAAGAGAGACAGAACCAGGTGAAAAAAAGGGAAAGGTTCTGCCTTCAGATAACAACAGCCCAAACAGGACTGACTACCCAAGAGAGACAGAACCAGGTGAAAAAAAGGGAAAGGTTCTGCCTTCAGATAACAACAGCCCAAATAGGACTGACTACCCAAGAGAGACAGAACCGGGTGAAAAAAAGGGAAAGGTTCTGCCTTCAGATAACAACAGCCCAAACAGGACTGACTACCCAAGAGAGACAGAACCGGGTGAAAAAAGGGAAAGGTTCTGCCTTCAGATAAGAACAGCTCACATACGAATGACAAAACCGGGAAAAAAATTCAAAAATGAAGGTTCTTCCCTCACGGAGATAAGTCTGATTACACGAGAGAGTGGGTAAGAAATAACAAAAGAACGAGAGTATCTTCAGGATTCTGCTTTCGAAACTGCGAAATAGTACAGTACGATTAGTAAGAAAACACACTAACCTGCCAAGAGCGCGTCATCTTATAGGGAAGGAATATTTGAGCTGTGATGTCAGGGTTCATTCCATAATTAGGTTTCAACAGTTGGATAATACACTATGTGATTTTAAGCATCTGTCACCTAACTATCACAGAAATAATTCCTTCTCTTGCTTCGAAAGCACAGAAGTAAAGGTAAACCTTGCTTTGCTGATTAAATGGTTTGGGCATCATCATTTTCCGCTCAAAGGTTATTAAGCAGCGAGATTTATCGCGCGTCATCATATAGCTCTAGACAGAAATTATCAGGCATACAACCTTGTCTAAAAGCCAAATTGGACAAGCCAGCGAGTAGAATTTCTTCCTCGCGAAGTTTTACACAGTTAAGACCTTACCTTAAGGAAAGAACGATGGCCCCTTTTCGCAGATACCGCCGAATATACTCGTACCTTCGCATAGAATTTTCGCGGGACAAGTTCCCGCGCTTACCTGATGATTGGGACTTACTAAAATGATATTTTATACTGAAAGAGCTCCTCAGTATGGACGCCAGAAAATTATTATCAAAATATCTACCCAATCGTTTCAAGTGTTAAATGATACTCTTGTATCTCCAGAACATACTGCAGTCGAAATCTTTCTTGAAAACAAGGTCCTTACCGAGCGGCTCACCGGCTTCTATGTTGACTTAGGGTCAAAGGTCTGATCAGAGTGAAATATAAGTTGGCTAACACAATTTAATTTTGGTATTGTCGTGACAGAACAGATAATCGCTCTTTGCGTCACAAACCAATAAACCTGTAGATCACGAACAAAACATGCTGGGTACAATAACTGTTACTTGATAGTCATGTCACGCGCTACAAC